CATGAGGAGGCGAATGGTCAGGGTGACATTCAAACCTCCTCCTGGCTGGATTTTGGTCGTCTCCATGCTGGGGGGAGGTGAGATCTGTGATGGGATATCCTCACAGGACAAATGGGTCCGGAGATTTTCCAGCCAACCAGTCACCTATTGAATTTAACACCACATAAAAACACACATAATAATTTTCAATGACATGACCCCCTCACCAGAGATCATTTTGATGCATTGGGGCAAGAGGGGTACAAAAATGTGATGACTAATAAGTAAAATGAACAACAAACCAGCAATAAACAAATTAAATACGATTAGTTTTAACAGTAATCAATCACAAATAGTTCAATAATATGTGGTTTAGAAGTAAGCTTGTGTGTTTATGCTTCATAATCTCAGGGATAATTCTTCATAGTGCCCATCAGTTGTGGAGAAGGACCTCTTCTGAATTTGTGCTGATTTGCTATACTGCATGTGGTTTTTGCCAGATTTAGCCCTGTCAGGGTTTTTATAAGTTTGATTTCCTGTTTAGTTTAACTTATTTGTGTTTTCATTTTCTTTTCAGTCCACCTGTGTTCTTTGTGCCATCACTCACTCCTCCTCAGGTGATTGATTCCCTGTGTTCTCATTCAGCCTGCTACATCTACTCTCACCTGTTTCCAGGTTGCATTCACCCCAAGTGTCTTCACTGACTAATCAGCCTGGACCTATACATCCTGTCTTCATCCACCTTCTCATCAGTAGAGCATTGTTGGTTGAATGTCACAATCCACTTATCCCCTTGCGATTCTCTTGGTGATTTTGTAATTGCTCCTTGTTTTTGTAAGTCAGGTTTTTGCAGCCACATCAGCTTTTTTGTTTTTTCTTTAACAAAGAGGTTTGAGCTCCTCGTGTTCGTCTGCATTCTGGGTTACAACCTCCTGAAATTGTGACAAGACCTGTGCATTGTGACCAAACATCTCTTTGCTGGTCTCATCTGTTCAAAAGACATTTCTAAAGCAGTTTTGTTGATCTGATACAACTGTGCAAACCTACATCATTCTGCCAGGTTCTTATTAGAGGGAACTGCGTTGTATGAGCATGGGGTACACAAGCCCATTGAGTGCTGCTGACTGTCTTAAATGTTTTCCACTTGTAAATATTTTTTTCTTTCTGTAGAATTATGGACTCCAAATCATGTGGGAATAACCTTTAACCCTTCCCAGATTGATTGACAACAGCATTGCATCTCTGAGGTCATTGCTGATGTCTTTCCAGCCAATGTATCGGTCTACCATTGTCAGCACCTCTAGCGATTGTTGATCCATACTCCACACGCATATATTTGCGCAGTAACACAAATGTTCAATTGAGAAAATAGCAACAAATTAAAGAACAGGAGTCATGCAAATTTAATTTTAGCTAATTTAGGCAACATTCTTGGTGATCAGGACACTTAAAAAAAGTGCTGCTGTCTGTCTTTAAATCGAAGCCAGGGATTACTTTACATGAACCCCAGTGTCTCCATGTGTTACAAATACGCATCGATTTTAATATTGTTCCAAACTTCCAATATGCTTGTACCCCTTGAGCATGAGCTTTGTTATGAAATCCTCCAGCTTTTGTCATTTCACTCAGAGAACATGGTCCAAATGTTAATTTCCAGCAGCAGCCTGTGCTACCTGACATAATTATCAAGCCGGTTAACTTCCTGCTGCAGGGGAGTCTTTCCTCATTCTTTTTCTCTTCATGATGCCACAATTGTTTGGCTATTTAGCTACAGGTTATAATTTCAAGCTAGTCACTGCCTTAATGTGGGCTACTTTTGTTTCAGTTCCCAAACACAATCAGGAAAATGTTTTCCATTAAAACCAAGTGAGGAGGCAATGTATCAACCCTAAGAATGAAGTGAAGTTGCTTTAGCTTGTTTATATGGAGTCTATGTGGGTAATAAATGGTTTTGTCGATGACTGGGCCTTAACGGGGTTTGTTGCATGACAGTTCTACGTTCTAGACAGGTGTTGCATGCATTTCCTTATTTGATTGCTAAACCCAAATGAGATTTAAACAGAGTTTATACAAAACCCATGTACTGTATGTTCGTTACGGTCCACTTATAATACTGATCAACATGAAACCTGGCTAATCTTGTATGTTAGATTGCTCTATTTTCACAACCAAAACCAGTGAACAGCCCAATTTAAGCTTATTTTTTGTCCATATTTTTAGGTTTTGACTGGGACATATCACTGACAGAAGCAATTATAGCAGCTGCTTTGAGGCAAGGACAGACTTAATCAGCTAAAAAGGGGTGGCTGACCTCCATAACTCCCTTTATGTATTTTGTGGACATTCACAGGCACCGTGGAAGTAAATAAATTATTCATCATTATGAAGCATTATCAATCATTCAGTGTTAGGTTTGTGCTAGTTTGGTTTGCTTCTTTTTATGTGGTCAATTCATGCTTACAGTAAATGTGCTTATACTGTAATTAAATCTGACTAGTATATGTTGTTTATATGTATAAAAAAGTAAAAACCGGATGGAAACGTGGCAACGGTACTTTGTTCCATGGAAGTGCAAAAAAGAAATGCCATTTTTCTGCATGTGGTATGTAGAAAGGGGTAAAATAAGTATGAAAGCTCTGCTGTCAGAACAAATGACCAATCTTTCTTGGTTCATGTTGCGTTCTGTACATTGCTTGGCAGACTTCTTCACATCACTTTGAATACATTTAGCGTCGCACAGACACTGGTGTTCAAGATGTCTGAAAACAAAATTGTTCATATGAACGTGTCCTGCAGGTATAATGATCCTGGTGTTTTTGTAAAAAGGTGGCAGGCAGCAGGTTGTGATGAAAACAACACAGCTAACAAGCTCTCGAGTCAGATAATCATCCAGACTCTTTTCACTCATGAACTCAGTGCCTTCAGTAAATACATTAATGTTCTTTTGAAACATGATGTCTGGAGCTTTCTCCATCTCAGACTGTGGTCCAGAGCAGGTATTATTCTGAGTATGGATTGTTATGTCCCAAAGTTTAAATCTCACTCACCATTTACTTTACAATTTGCTGCTGCTGCAAAGAATGATTTCAAATGATACAAAATTGCTTCCTTTTTTTGGTGGTTCCATTAATTTTTTCCTTGAGACTTCATGTATAATTTTCTAAAATCCACTCTCCTTGCTCAAAGCTGTGGGTTAGACTTTGAGGCCCTCTCAACCCTGAACATAAAAAGCAGGTGCACTGATAGCAAAACTAAATGCAAAACTGTCAAACTATGATGTTTGAACAAACCTTTGTCATGCACAAATCCTCATCCCATTTTGACATTACAATCATCTTATGTTGAAAAAAAAAAATGGAGCTAGAGCTGTTTTGGTAAAATCTTATATGTTTAATCTACAACTTCCAGTTTCTGTTTGTGAGGCTGACACATGGTCTACTTTTAAGACTGGGCTTAAGTTTTTCCTTCATGATAAATCCTATAGTTAGGGTTGGCTTGGGTTTTCTGAGCTATCCCTTAGTTATGCTGCTATAGGCTTAGACTACTGGAGGACAAACTGACCACATTTCTTCACTATGCTACTGTCTTTTCGTTTTGTATTTGTAATTTTTTCTATCCTTTCCATGAGTTTTTATCTTTTCCCATCAGGGGGTACACCTGCATCTACATCTGGGCCTGTCATTCTGTGTTTGTTTGTTTCTCCTTCCTGCCCTCTCAGTCCCAGCCAGTCAAAGCAGATGGCTACTTGTCCTGAGCCTGGTTCTGCTGGAGGTTTATTTCTGTTCAAAATAAGTTTTTCCTTTCCACTGTTGTCTTTGTTCTTGCTCAGGGTGGGAGACTGTGACAAAGTGAGGATTCAACACAATCTGCTGGCTTCCTTCCTTAGATAGAGAACTTTACTAATTGGCTTTTCTATGAATGTTTCTGTACAGTGCCCTGAGACAACTTCTGTTATGACTTTACACTATATAAAGAAACTGAATTGAATTGATCTCATTGATATTGTGAGATGCTGTGCTTGGAGTATTTATTGAGTATGATTCTCAGCTACTACTACACCATACTATAGCTCAATATCTGTAACACTGCCCTTTCTTTTGTTAGCTAAGATCAATTTGCTGTGGTGACTATCTTGAGGAGGATTGACTCCAAACATTCATCAGTTGTAGATGACGTTTTATTAGTCTCATTAAAAAATGCCCAGAGATTCATTATATACAGTATTTTGCTAACACACATATAGAGACGCGTGAGGATTTGTGTTTGTGCCCTAGTGTGTCTCCCCCTTGTGGTCTGCTCCAGTTCCTGCCACACCCACCTGTTCCTAATTGTCTTTTCCCCAGTTGTTTTGTCATCTGTTGTTACTGTCTGTATATAAGTCAGCATCTTGGTTTTCCTCCTTGTCTGTGCATTGTCCTGTATGTTGTCTAGTTCTGTTTCCCTCCGTGTCTCCACTTCCTTCCATTTTGTAGGTATTGCTGCCACGTCAGCCCTTTGCTCTCTGCCTTAATAAATGTTATTAATTTATTTATTTACCCCTCAAGTCCCTGTGTCTGCCTGCACCTTCGGTTCGACTAACCGACAGAATGTGATAATGCAGGCCAAAACACAAAATGCGTCTTTTGCCTGTAGCCAGCAATAATCAACATTGTCTTGACTAAAAACCTCAAAGAGAATGAACATATTTGTAAGACTCTGTAGGATAAAGTAGGTGTAGCCACAGGACAATTAGAAGGAGAATGTATCCATTATTATTATTGTTATTATTATTATTTCTAGGATGCACAGGTATTAGCACAATATTGTAAAATTAGATTTGAGAAACAAAAACTGAACTGAATCTACAGTTTACTACATTATTTATGCAATTTACATTATAAACTTCAGCAAAATTACACTGTCATCAATTTATGGAATTCCAACAGGAAGTGCATATATAATCATGTACTAGTACTCCCCACTAACTTGTGCATAAGCATCTTTGTCTTTTTCAATTGTGTGTATTCTGCTTCTTTTTGATTATTTTATATGCATTTTTTTTATAATTAGGAAATGCTACTGGGTGCCCCGAATTCCCCGCTTGGGATTAATAAAATGTCTGTCTGTCTGTATGTCTGTCTGTCATTAGGCTGGATTGACTATGACATTCAAGAAATGTAAGGTTT